TTTCGCCATTGTATGGAAACATACAGTGCTGACATTGTGATGACATTATTATTATTATTATTATTATTATATTGACTTTAGTTGCTGGATGTCCGGCCCCTGAGCTGCTAACTTTCAGTAACTGTGCCCCCCTGAGCAGTTCAGTTGAATAGCCCTGCTTTATAGGGTGGAATACAGTTTATTCCTTTTCCAAAACCTAAACTGAATCTGGAAAAATGTAAAAGATGAATAAAGACCTGTTGCCAACCTCATGAGCAGCTGAATACAACAGTGATAAACAGGAAGTACTGCATGTTCATGTGTATGAAGGCAACTGCAAGTAAATCCTCCATTTTCTGTCATGATTACATTGTGCAGTATGCTCAATGTTTAAATTAAGCTAGTTGTGCTTTGTTTTGCATGTTCTGTATGTAGATATCTGTTGCAACTTCTGGCTGCATAAGTTTATTCTTTGTTTGTTATGCTCATTTAACACTAAATTGAGTTTGTACAAAGCGTTCATTAGGTTGTGTAATGTAAAGCAGAGCACTACATCTGTAGCATGTTAGCTAGTACGCCTGTATCGCACGCCGCTAGGTTAACACTTCTTCTTGTGCCGAGCTCTCTAAAATAGTTATTGAATCAAGTGTTTACTTTTGTAGGTAAAGGATGATGTTTAACAACGCGTTAAAATACATCATAATGCAGGAAATGGCATCTACTTTATTCAAAATTTTCTGGAGGAGGGCCCCCAGACCCCTCCACCAGTGTATCCCCCACTCCACAACCACATTATGAATGCTTCTGATACCACTGGCCACAAGTTGTTCAAGCCAAGAGCCATTAGCTATGTTTACATGCACAAAATTCTTTGATCAGATTGAAATGTATTCGGATAAAATAATCCAAATTATCGTTTACATGGGCACAATCCGTTCACGATGAGTGTTTACCTGCAGCGGTCTTTGATTCTGAATAGAAATACTGACATGCGCAGAGTGGTAAACTCTCCTTAAAAAAACACAGAAGAAGAAGTTCTACTTTTGTGATGAACGTAAACAAATCTGAGCGCCCAAAATGGACCTGTGCCAGGTTTTTATGAAGGTGGAGACATTACTGCACTCCCTGACTGAGCTACAGGTAATACAAATCATTTTGAGCTCTTTCAATGTTTCTATTAGAAATGTTGTGTCGTTCACGCACTAATTTTGCTTACCCGACATATTAGCAGCTAGCCAGGCAGAAATACATGAGGTAGACATACGTCGCACATGCACAGTCAGGTCAGTTTTCCACGATCTGAATTAAATGAGCAGATTAAGTTTTCATATGCGCACCCTTTGGATTATGAATCGGCGTAAACCACCCGTTTCGTTCTGATCACAAATTTTTTTTGGATCACGCTAAATAAACAAAAAATAACCCGAACGGGGTGTTTACATGACGTGTTTTTTATTCCGAACGGCCGTTTGATCTGATTACTTATGTCCATGTAAACATAGCTATTGTCAGCACTGGGGGGCTAAGCACCCCTAAAGGTCCGACTCTAGAATCACCCCTGGTGAGAGATGTTGAGTTTGCTCCAGACATGGTGTCCTTAATAGTTCGTAAAGACATTAAAGTCTCATTTGACCACAACACCTTCTTCCACATGTTGGGGATGTTTGATATGCCTTTTGTCCATAGCAAATGCTCTGTGCTATTCTCAGGCTACTCTTTTGTGAAACATTTCAGAGAACTATCCAGTGTTGACTAGTGCTTTGAACAGATGCATCTCTTTAAAAATAACTTTGCAAAAGCGCTGTGTAGCTCCACCACAGTTACAGTATCTTTGCTGTCTTGGTTGCTTTTCAGAGAAATGCTTTCCTTGTAGATCCATGAGTTTTGGTGGACAACACTCTCTTAGCAGGTTTACTGTGGTAGCACAATGTTTCCAGTTTCTAATAACTAGACATAGTCTCACGGTTTGATTTAATGGCACTTTGTGGAATAGACTTTAACAAACCATGAGATCCATATGTCTCCAAACCTATCTGGTGTATGTATCCTTTATTTAACCAGGAAAATAACTCATTGAGATTAAAAACCTCTTTTCCAAGAGTGAGCTGGCCAAGACAACACCATAAAACATACAACAAATCCAAAATACTAAACCAATTACACAAATACATATCCAGGAGCAATCACAATAATTACACATTAGAGCAGTTACAGGAGCCAAGTGATCTGAGCTCTCATCCTTTAGAGTTGATTTAAATTGTCCCAACGTAACAAGAGATGATAACCTTAAATCTTTCTGCAGAATATTCCAAGTGGCAGGGGCAAAATATTTAAAAGCCTTTTTACCCAGTTCAGTTCTGACCTTTGGGACCTGCATCAAAATGATGTCCTGAGAGCGCAAACTATAATGGTTAAATCTAAAAAAGCTAAATCTGGTCCTCTGGACATTCAAAAAAACAAAACAAAGCAAAACAACAAAAAAATGTAGAAACGTTTCGTCTCTCATCCGAGAGACTTCCTCAGTCTGAGGTGCTGTATTCAGCTCAGTCTCTTAAATAGCACCGTCTCAGAGTGGATCAACCAGTTTTGCTGCTGACAACCAAAACCAGCTGACCACATGCTCAACAAGGACCATCAGCATAACAATGGATCATTAGGACACTGATGGCTGTTTACTATTCACAGAGGGCTGAGTGATACTAGCAATCACAGCACTGTAAGAGGGGGACAATTGAACACGTAGGCCTCCACCCATGTTTAACAATGGACGATTTCTTTTCACAAAGATGGCCTCCTTTACTGCTCTCTCAAACCATCGTTCCTCTCTATACAGGATGTGCACATCTTCATCCCCGAAAGAGTGACTGCTGGCCTGGAGATGAGTGTAGACCGCAGAGTCCTGGCCTGATGATATTGATCTTCTGTGCTGGTCCATCCTTTTGGCCAGTGGCTGTTTAGTTTCCCCGATGTAAGACTGATCACAGCCCTCCTGACACTGAACAACATCCACAATATTACTCTGTTTGTGCCGGGGGACTGGATCTTTGGGATGAACCAGTCTTTGCCGTAATGTATTTTGGGGTTTAAAAGCCACTGGGACGTTATGTTTAGAAAATAAACGTCTCAGTCTCTCTGATACTCCCTCAACATATGGAATGACCACTGGTCTGGGTCTGGGTTCCTCCTTTTCACCTGATGGCTGACTGGAGTCCTGTTTGGGTTTCTTCTCTGCTTTCAGGAAGGCCCAGTTAGGATATCCATATTGCTATAGAGCCTGTCTTGTGTGGGATTTCTCCTTCTGCCTGGCTCCTGAGCTAGTGGGGACGCTGTCTGCTCTGTGATACAGAGTCCTGATGACTCCTAACTTGTGCTCCAAAGGGTGATGGTAGTCAAACTGCAAATACTGGTCTGTGTGGGTGGGTTTGCGGTACACTTCAGTTTGCAAATGTCCTCTATCAGAGACTGAGACCTCACAGTCCAAGAAAGCCAACTTGCCATTTTTTACATCTTCTCGTGTGAACTTGATGTATTTATCCACAAAGTTGATGTGGTCAGTAAAATGTTGGACTTCCTGAGATTTCATTTTAACCCAGGTGTCGTCAACATACCTGAACCAATGACTTGGTGGTGTCCCTGAAAAGGACGTCAAGGCTCTCTTTTCTACCTCCTCCATGTACAGGTTGGCAACAATTGGAGAAACTGGAGACCCCATAGCACACCCATGTTTCTGCCTCTAATATTGCTCCCCATATGTGAAGTAGGTTGACTGCAGGCAGAGTTTCAAGAGTTTACACAGTTGTTCTGTGGAAAGCGTGGTCCTGCTGCTCAGAGTTGTGTCTGATTTTAATTTTAAACTGACCACCTCTACTGCATCATCAACAGGAATGCACGTAAAGAGTGATGTGACATCAAAAGAGACCATTGTTTCATCAGTCTCCATGATGACATCCCTCACCTTATCCACAAAGTCCATGGTGTTCTGTATGTGGTGTTCTGAGCTGCCAACTAAAGGGATGAGTACAGACGCCAGATATTTGGAAACATTGTAAGTGACAGTGTTAATCATGCTAACGATTGGTCTTAAAAGTACACCTTGTTTGTGGATTTTAGGTAAACCATACAGACTAGGTGTGGCCTCCCCTGGGTACAGTCTGTGGTACAGAAAATGGTCAATAGCCTTGTCCTGCTCCAAAATTTTCAGGCATTCTATCAATTTCTTCTTGTAACATGGATCTCTTTTCAGAGGTTCATAAGTGTTTAAGTCACTAAGGAGTGTCATAACTTTCTCATGATAGTCTTTCTGGTTCAAAATCACTGTACACCTTCCTTTGTCTGCTGGGAGAATGATGATGTTCCATTTAGCGGTCACTCTTTCAAGGATGAAGATGTTCACATCCTGGACAGAGAGGAACGATGGTTTGAGAGAGGAGTAAAGGAGGCCATCTTTGTGAAAAGAAACCGTCCATCATTAAACAGGGGTGGAGCCTCCGGGTTCAACTGTCCCCCTCTTACAAGGCTGTTATTGCTAGCATCACTCAACCTCTGTGAACAGTAAACAACCATCAGGTGCTAATGATCCATTGTTAGGCTGATGGTCCTTCTTGAGCATGTGATCAGCTGGTTTTGGTTGTCAGCAGCATAACTGGTTGATCCACTCTGAGAAGGTGCCATTTATGAGACTGAGCTGAATACAGGACCTCAGACTGAGAAAGTCTCTCGGATGAGAGACGAAACGTTTCTACATTTTTTTGTTGTTTTGCTTTGTTTTGTTTTTTTGAATGTCCAGAGGATCAGATTTAACTTTTTTAGATTTTTCTACCTGGTTTATTGAGCATGCATCAGGATATAATGGTTAAAAGTTCTATATAAAAGTGAACATAATTATGTAGGAAGATGCCCAAGGGTGCATTTATGGACAAAAATCAACAAGTGAGAAAGTCTGCGGTCAGTCAAAGAGGGACATTTTGCTGTAACATACAAAGTGCAGTGATGTGTTCGATAGGCACAGTCAGTCATAAAACGGAGGGCACAATGATATACAGCATGGTGACTGAATATATAGATCTGAAATTACTGTTTGGTGGTTTAAAATGAAATGGATGAATAGAAATGCGCACAACTTTTCAGTTTTGCATTTTTAAGAATTCTTTACAACATTTTTTGTATACTTATTATTTAAAATTGCATTGAAAAAAACAAAAACAAGTAAAACAACAATTGGTGCAAATACCTTTGCAACCTCCTGTATGGTTTACAGTTTGTACAGAACTACATACGTCTTTAAACCCACCTCTTCATTGATATACCAGTACAAGCAGTTGTCTTTCAGCACAAACCAGTATTTCTTCCATTTCTGAGAAAAGTAACCCTTTGCATCCCTCTTTCTCCACAACCAGCCCTCACAGTCCCCTCTGCCCAGCGCCTTGCAGGAAACTCGCCTCCGGCTCAGAGAGGCCAAACTTCGTCCTGAAACCAAATGAAATAAACATGAAGGTATGACATACACAACCGGAAATACTATACAGTAAAACTGGAGGAAAGCTTGACCTCTGACAAGGTGAAAGTGTTTTTATAATGCATTCTGCTAATGCTACTTGAATAAGTGTCTTTCATGGCAGTTTGAATAATAGCTTTCATAAAAGGCCACATGCTAATGTAGCAACAATTTCTGCCAAGAGTTCAGCCTCTGAATCTGAGCCTTTGACAAATCGCTGCTGCACTGCAGTAAAGTAAGAGGAGTTTATTAAAGAGTGTTTTCTTTCTGACATAAAGTGCCGCAGCATTGTTCACGGCAAGCTCCTTCCTAAAGAGTACTGGAGAACTTTGGGCTCCCAGGTGAAAACCACAAATAAACGTCCATTGCACTGCAAGAAATGTCTTTTTAATGAGGATGTTGATTCAATATTAGCTTGTACCTCTCTGCCAGGGTAGTTTTAAGGAACACAACCTTTTCATACAATACTGGCAAACATTAAAGCCCTAGAATTAAATGTGAAAATATTATTCCAATTTAGAAATAATTAATTATTTTTCTTCAAAAGCTGGTATTTTGCTGAGATAATACAAAATTGCTCTAAAATAGTGAAAGCCCTAATTTTTGTGCAGCTGTTTCAGACCCAAATTGAAACTGTCATCAGTTTGCGTAATAAATAAAAAAATAGAACATTTACTCAGCATGTACAGAAAAAATTGTTAATATATGTTGGATAAATAAGAAATTTAGGGCAATTGTAGCATTAGTAAATCATTATCAGTTATTGCTTTAAACAAACAAAACCACTGATGATTTATGCAGATAGAGCTAATGCTTTTAGATTTGCTCACAATGGCAGATTGTGAAAAAAAAATTATGCTTTTAAAAAAAAAGGAGTCATACAACATGTTGATCAGCAATAAAATGGTACCAAGCAAAACAAGTTTGGTCAAAGAGACAAACACTCGTAAAAGATATGTAAAAAAAAGGGAAAAAAAAGTACTTTTTATATAAAAGCATTTTTTAAAAATATATAAACAACAACAACAATAGAAGTGATCTCACAATAAGACAAGTGTTTTTGTCAACTTCATAGTTTTCCTTGCAGGGAGATCTTTGACATCTGCAGCCAAATATGCAGTACAGTTAACATCTTTGAGTTCTATTTCGTATAGGCTTCGCCCTTTAAGGCTGTCGCTTGTGAGTTTTATCTCGTCACGCAAAGCGTCGCACTGAAAAATTTAGACCACGCCCACCTGTCGTGTGGGCCCCACCCGGTCCGTATAAATTACGTTGAGAATGGGTAATCGGCTCCCATTTTTTCTTCAGCAAGCAACTAGCACTGATCTTTCAACAACGCGATGTCCAGCACCAACACTATCCGCCTATGCCCGTCCTACAAGACCGGCTACATGCTGAGCTTCGACTGGCATGACACCTGCGAAGGATGCCTGGGTCCCCGCCACGCCGACCTTGCCTCCTCCTGCCACCTCTGTGACATCCTCCCCCCTGAGGAGAGGCAGAGGCAAGCAGCCTTGTTTAAGGCTAACATTGAGGAGTGCCTCTCCGTGGCAGGGGACTGCTCGCTGGACGATGCCATCGATTTTTTTTACGCCGGGTCTCGGAGCGAATCGGATGGTTTCTCCGGGACAGGCGACGTCAGCAGCAGCCCTGCTGCTCATTCCCTCCTGGAGAGTGTAGTGTTGGAACGGGAGGGGCCGAGCAGATGCTCACCCCTCCCGGGCCTTTCCACTTCAGCAACCACACCACTCCCAGCCGTCGGTGCCCTCCTCTCGGAGCTGCTCGGCATAATCCAGGAGGCGGCTGACACGAAGGGACTTCCCGTCCCAGATCGGATGACCTAGCGGGAAGGTTTGGCTCCACCCCGGCTCGCCGCCCTGATCCCATCTGGCCTCGTTTCCCAGCAGTGACGTCCTACTGGAACGAGGCTGCGGCCGGACCTGATAGATTGAGAGTGCCCGTCTCCACCTTTGCACCTATCACCAGAGTGGAGGGGTTTACTGAGCGGAATTTTCCCTCAGTACCCCCCCGGAGCCAAGATGGCGGAAACTCTCACAGTAAAAGTGTCCAGTCTGGACCAGCATCCAGTTCCTCCAGGGAAGCACAACCAGATGGTGACGTCACTCTCCAACCGAGCTCACCAGTGTGCATTCCAGGCAGCCGCAGCGAACAACAATGTCGCTCTGCTGGCCTACAGCATCTCAAAGATACTGGAGGAAACAGACCTGCCTGTGGAGACAAAGAGCTCACTCTGTAAGGCATCTGACATCATCCTCAACCTGTGTGCCTCCTCTACTGTCTGCCTGTCTCGCATCGCCGCCTGGATGACAATGATCCAGAGGTCTACCTGGCTTCGTCACTACCCCTCCCTACCAGAGAAACTGCAGAAGGACCTGCTGGAGGGCCCCATCACGACGGACGCGCTGTTCGGAGCCAATTTCAAGGCCATGCTGGAAAAATCGAAGAAGTCGGAGGAGGTGTCGAGACTGTGCGCCACCTAATGAAGCCGCACTCCTCCTCTTCTCCCCCCCCCCACCCACTGGAAGGATCATCGCGGCCAGAGGCAGCAGCAGAGACATCCACAGCTGCTGCAGCATCCTCCCGCCCCGCTCCGCTGCCATCCCCTCCCACCAGAGAACAGTCCTTCTCAGCCCGGCAACCAGTGGCTCAGCGTTTCCCCAGAGATCGCCAACAGGCGCCACCCTGGAACAACCAGCTGCAGGGCTCACGGGGGAGAAGATTTAAGTAATGACTCCTTGCGGAGGATGTGTGTGTATGCAATAATGACGCGAGTTTTGCAATAAAACAAAAACATCATTCAAATAATAAAGTGTCTGATTTCAGCCTGACTGTCAGTTCGAATGATCTCACAGTGGCTTCTATTCACACATCCTCCTCACAAAATGAGCCGGTGACCTCGAAACAGGTTTTTAAAAATCACCGCAGCTCGAGAAAACACACACACAATGCTCGCTGGACACAGCAGCAAAAAATTAATGTTTTCAGCAGACCGAGCCCACGAGAAAGCCTTGCTCTCAGCCCAGGGAGTGTCCTGCCCCGTCTGACTGCAGCGGAGACAAACGCGTGTCCCTGCGGCGGTGACAGCCCCCACCCAAGCGACGTTGCATTGCTGAGGGCACGCACACCTCCCCTCAGTGCACATCAGCTCACATCAGTTATGATGTGAGCCCACAGCCTGAGCGTGGCACAGAGGTTTTTGACTTGGCTGACATCCGTAAAAGTCATGACACATCACAAAGAAGCGTGCCTGCTCCCAGAGCGTTATGCAGAGTGGCAGCGAGCATACTCCCTGAACAGATGGATGCACCATTTTATCAGCAAAGGTTACACGCTGCAGTTCACAGCTCAACCCCCTCTGTTCAGAGGGATTATAGAGTTGGTTCTGCCATCTCCAGAACAGATCTCGTCCCCCACGCAGAAGTTCAGGAACTACTGGTAAAAAATGTAATTTCCAGGGTTCCCGACGGAGAGGAAAACACAGGGTTTTACTCACATTACTTCCTTGTTCCGAAATGGACCAGAGGGATGAGACCCATCTTGGATTTATCCGTTTTCAACATTCCAATCATTCCAAAATGCAGAAAGTTCCTGCACTTCTCTTTTCAAGGGAACCAGTATCAGCACAACAGGCTGTCATTCGGTTATACCCTCGCACCACGTATGTTCTCAAAATGCGTGGAGACGGCTCTGCAGCCACTACACAGAGCGGGGATGAGTATCATGTTTTACCTGGACATCTGCTGCTGCTAACTCGATCTAGACAGGAAGCAACGGCACAAACCAAAGTGCTGACGTCACACCTGTTAAACTGGACCTGGGCCATAAACTGGGAGAAGGGCTCAGTTCTTCTGGCCCAGATGATTGTGTAGCAGCATAAATGGTGTGCTGCCACTTTAACATGGTCAATTGCGGCTTCTGTATAAAAACACGTCACTCCTGTCTGGCGTACACTGCGTGCGTCACGACGTCTGCTTGCTTCCGCTGCTGATAACCATCCTTTGGTAAGCATGGCTAACTTTTTTTTGTCACAGTAGTTTGCCTTTATGGTAGCTGCTAATAAAAACTGGTTTGTTTTTCTTAACGTTCAGTCTAGCCTCTTCTCTGCTGTGCATCCTGGGTATTACACTGGTCCATCTTTTGTGTGTCCAATTTATGGCTTGAAGGTAAGGGTTAGCCTAGCCTGCTACCACTTACCTGTTACTGTAAACAAATGCTTATTATACAGTGCTCTGTTACAGCTGCATGATCCAATTTATACAGCAACTCTATTATACGATTGTGCTGTAACGTACAAAGTTGCAGGTAGGCAATATGAGATTATGTAAATTCTATTGTCAACGGTTGAGTTTAATAGTGACAATCTGCTCCATTTTTAGTTTTCAGATGAGCCTTTCTGCCTGCTGTTCAGCTGGATTCTGCTCACTACTGTTTTGGAAAAATATAAAACTAACTTAGGCCCTTGCCCTGCTGGCTGAAGATTTGATTTTAATGAACTGAGTATACCACTAAATCTGTTTTTATGAAATATTGTGACGGGGCTGTTTCATTAAGGCTGTTTATTTTTTATTCATTTTTATTTTTATTTTGTTGCAGGGACTGAGACTTCATGTGGTGGCGGTGGTGACCCCTGGTGGCGGTGTCTCGCTTTGTGTGTGGAACATGTCAAAGCCAACAGCAGTGCTGTTTTAAGTGACAAGAATTTAATCAAAACCTGACCTAACAGCTCAAAAGGAGCTTTGAACAGGGCCTGCAGAACCATCTTTAAGTCCCACTGAGGAGTTAATGGGCATGACACAGGTCTGTGCCTCTGTACACCTTTTAGAAAACGTTTCATCAGCGGGTGATTAAAAACTGTTCTGTCACCGAAACTTTTGTGACAGGAAGAAATGGCTGCAGCATACATTTTAATTGTGCTGAACGCCAGATTTCTTTCCATCAGCTGCTGCAGAAAGGACAGCATGCCACCTAGTGGACATGAGATGGCCTCTACACCTTTCTCCATACACCAGCGCTGAAAGGTTGTCCACTTTGATGTGTACAGCGCTGTGGTGGAGGCAGCACGTGAATCCTGGATTGTGCGCACTACATCCTGAAACAGACCCATCCTCTCTAAGCAGATCCGCTCAGCGGCCAGACCTAAAGATGCTGGCCTATTTCTGGGTGGCTCCTGATCGCTCCCCACACCTGGAGGAGAGCGTCCTCCCTCCACGGCAGTTTTCACGGGCAACCCGATAACAGACGTCGCAGGATTGGAACCCACGGGACGCTCACGCGCTCGGGGGCTATCAAAATGGCTGATAGTTCTTCCTCCCGAGCTCGGTTCAGAAACTGTGATATTAGAGGGACTTGGGCAAAAGCGTAAAAGAGCATTTTGGGCCACGGGCTGTGGGCAAACATGTCCACTCCTAACGGTGGTTTGTCCCGTGGGCTCAGTGAGAACCATAGTTGGCATTGGGCGTTCTCCCATGAGGCAAACAGGTCCCCTGCTGCTCTGCTTAATTTCTCCCACATCCGAGATATCAGCTCGGGATGGAGGCTCCAGTCCCCGTGGCGCTGATCGCCCCTGGACATTATGTCTGCTCCTCTGTTCAGGACGCCGGGGGTGTACACTGTTCTGATGGACAGCAGGTTTTTGTGTGCCCAACACAGCAGCTGCCTCTCAATGTGTAACATTTGGGCTGAGCGCACGCCCCCCTGCTGGTTTATGTATGCTGCAGACACTTTGTTGACTGTGTGAATCAGAATGTGTTGATTCCGCAACACCGGAACAAAAGTTGAATCGCATTCAAAACCGTGCGGCATTCCAAAACGTTTATATGAGCAGCTGTGTGATGTGGCCACAGAGCCCCCACAGCCCGAGACGGGCACGTTCCTCCCCAACCTGACAGGAGCGTGTCTGTGAAAACTGAGACGTGTGACGTAGGTCTGCTGACAGGGATTCCCTCCGACAGAGTGAGTGGATTTCCCCAATGTCTCAGGTGGGTTCCTTCGGAGGGGGGCACAGAGATCATCCACCTCTCTTGCCTTACCGGATCTATGCGCAGACGAGCAAACCATCTCTGGCGGTGTCTTAGGTGGAGTAAGCCCAGCGCGGCCACCGTGTGAGCTGACAACATTGTTCCTAACAGTTTCATGATGGAAACAGCTGTCACTACTCTGCACGGTTTTACGTGGCGGAGCTGGTCTTTTGGAGTTTCGGTTTTTGTCTGTGATAAACAAGCCCTCATAGAGAATGAGTTTAGCTCTACTCCCAGATAAACGATTGTAGCACTGAGGGTGTGGTTATCTTTAAAAGTATGGACGTTATAATAGAGAATGTTAATTCTTTAGTTTGGAATGAGTGAAAACCAACAACACCACCTGGGATTATACTCCAGGAAATATAGTAAAAGGACACGTAAGTTTGGTCTACTGGAGGAAGGAGACAAGATTCAAATAAATTTTAACAAATTTATTGGAGGGTAATTGGTACAAGTGAAAAGTATTTAAAAAGTATTTTAAAATATGCAATACCAGAAAATTGTTGACTGCATTTAATTGTCTAGAAACACAGCTGTGGCTGGAGTTAAAAACAACACTTTAAAATATCAGGTGAGACTGAGGCTTACTAGTGGGGAGGGGCTGTGAAGACAAGGGGACCACATCCAGTGAAGAAAAAGAGATCACCTAAACTATAAAAGGGAAAAGGAATCAGCTGCAAAGAGAGTGAGTGATTTATCTGCCCTCTCTGTTGCCCCGTCATGCCTCAGGATTCAGGCTAATAGCAGTTCAGCTGATCTGAGACCTAACCCAGCGTTTATGCCTAAAAACATCATAAGCTCATTTAAATCGAGAATAACGTTGGAGGGTCTTTTCCCTCCTCCCCACAAATCAGAAGAAGAAGCATATTTTCATCTTCTCTGCCCTGTGCGTGCATTGGCATGTTACGTAGCACGCATGGCCACACTGTGTCAGACTCAACATTTGTTTGTACATTATACTGTAGAGACGCCTCTGCAGGTCGCCCGATATCCACCCAGCGCCTGTCACACTGGCTGTGTGATGCCATTTCTGAAGCTTACAGAGCATTAGGTTTAGAGCCCCCTGACAACCTCAGGGCGCACTCGACCAGAGGAATTGCATCATCCACAGCTTTGCATAATGGTATGACAATGCAGGATATTTACACTGCGGCCACGTAGTCATCGCCCTGCTCATTTATTTGCTTCTATCTGCGTGATGTGTCGGCTCGCTCCATGACGCATTCTGTCCTCGGTACCTTAACAGAATGAATATCCTGATGCATGCTCAATAATCCAGGTAGAAAAATCCAAGAAAGTTCAATCTGGTCCTCTGGACATTCAAAAAAACAAAAAACAAAACAAAGCAAAAAAAAATGTAGAAACGTTTCGTCTCTCATCCAAGAGACTTCCTCAGTCTGAGCTGCTGTTTTCAGCTCAGTCTCTTAAATAGCACCTTCTCAGAGTGGATCAGCCAGTTTTGCTGCTGACAACCAAAACCAACTGATCACATGCTCAAGAAGGACCATCAGCCTAACAAAGGATCATTAGCACACTGATGGCTGTTTACTATTCAAAGGGGGTTGAGTGATACCAGCAATCACAGCATTGTAAGAGGGGGACAGTTGAACCCAGAGGCTCCACCCCTGTTTAATGATGGACGGTTTCTTTTCACAAAGATGGCCTCCTTTATTCCTCTCTCAAACCATCGTTCCTCTCTGTCCAGGATGTGAACATCTTCATCC